CACATAACTCTGGTTACCTACTCAAGGTAATATAGTATAGTGAGAAGACTCACCTCGCGTATCTCGGTATCTCACGAATCCTGGAAATCCCTCGTGCTCGATCCTCCGAGCTCTAATCCTCCTATAACATTATATGTTTCTAATTAACACTTTATATCTCTAAGGTTGACTATCTATAAGAAGTCAACACAGGTCAACTCTGGTCAACGGTCAACGGTCAACGGTCAACTCTGACCGGACTCGGCGAGTACCATGGCGACTCGGCGAGTCTAGACGTTTTCACCAACCCTCTGAAATCCTCTTACTACACGTCGAGTATCCCCCCTTTACTCGACGAGTTTCACCTGAATGAATCGCGGGGCCACCCCGACTCAACTCGCCGAGTCTCAAGGACAACTCGGCGAGTCCAAGTTTGACTCAGTCCACTCGTCATCCCTCTCCAACTCACCCTGACTCACTGAGTCTACCCATGACTCGATTGGACCACTCGCTGAGCAGTCCCAAGGCAATCTTCAAGCTACTCGCCGAGTCGGATGAACAGACTCGGCGAGTCCATGCCATGCAACCACTCCAACTCTTCTAAGGTCAGATCTGCTTCCAAAAACTATAGATCTGGCCTCCCTCGACTGATTCATCACGTAAAGCTCCTATCTTGGTGCTCATAACACACCCTATAGCTCAATAATGGAGTTTTTGACCTAAGGCATGAGGATTCCAATCCAAAGCCTCCATTGATTCCCAAAAAGCTTGGGTAAAGGGACACTCTGGACCTCTAAGGGTCCAGATCTATGGTTCCAACCTCATAAGGGACCAAAAGGACACTAAATCTTGCCATAAAAGGGTTCAACAAACCCTAAATCTAGATAAACAACAACAAACAAGAAGGTAACTCGGATTTATTACCACAAAAGTGATGCTCTGGACTCCAAACCCACAGAAGTGGCTCCTTCTTGCTTTCCCTTGGCTAGCTCTTCTCCTTCCTTGCAACAATGGCACCTCCAAGGTCAAAAATGGCCTCCTACTTAGCTCCAAATGCTCACACTCGATTAGGGTTTCACTCAAGGGGCTGGTGAGCACAAATGACGGCCATTAGGTCCTTTAAATAAGTCTCAAACCCGAGAAATTAGGGTTTCATTACACAGCGCTGACTCGTCGAGTCCATATCCTGGACTCGTCGAGTCCAGGCGCGATGCCGCGTCCAAATCCGCGTCCCTACTCGGCGAGTCTGAGCTCCAACTCGCCGAGTCCCCCTCACAAATCAACAAAATACAATAAACTAGATACGTGATAAAAATCCGGTTGTTACATATATAGGATATATATCCGGTAAGAAATTTGTTTTGGTAGGAAGGTAAGAAGTTTTTTTTCTACATAATTTTCTGACGAACAAAAGAAACGAATCACTAGATGAATCAAAAATAACATGATTCACAAAAAAAAAAAGATTCATTTACACAATGATTTCGTTGTTATTCACTAAAATTATAATAAAAGTGAATTTTTTCTTAATTTACTTAAAAATGAATCATGATGATGTTTTTTTTTGGAATTTTTTTCTTGTGAATCATCTTACCTTTGAATCATTTAATGATTCATTTTGTATGTTCGCTAAAAAAAACAAAGCTTTATGTTTGCAGCGGGGGATTAGTCGGTGCGCGAAAGCTGGTCCGGAAACCCTCGTTAGGGAAGTTCCCTTTCCAAAAAAAAAAATATGTAGAAAAAAACTTCTTACATTCCTACCAAAATTTTCCTTCTTATTTAATCTTGACTATATATATATATATATATATATATATATATATATATATATATATATATATATATATATATATATATATACACACACACCCCATATAAATATAACTAGTTTCATATTCTATTTTATTATTATTTCCTATAAATAATAACTCATAATATGTTAGTAAAATTTTATTTTCCTAAAATAACAGTTTTTCCAATTAAGTAAAAGTGTTGATATTTATTAATAATCAAAATTACTCTAATAAATAATCAATCAATAGTAACTTGCTATAAGGTGTAACCGTATAATCATATGTCATTAGCAATATCATTTTATAATTACTCTTAGGCATAAAGATCTTTCAGTAACTATAAGGGTTGACCCGGAAGGTTGTGTAGGCAAACAAATAGGTTGGTAAAGTTTTCTTCATAACCGTTGTTTGAAAAAAACTCATATTGAAGCAATTATAATAAATAATTATGGATAATCCGAAGTAAGTGGCTAACTATATGAGATCCCATTTATATATAGTGGAAGAAAAGTGTTAATTTTTGGGTCTGAAATGTGTGTTCATGATTCCATAATGTCACATATATGTACGATGTTGACTACCATACTCTGGAATTGACTTCCATCCGAAATGTACTTAGAAAAATTCTCGATTAGGATTTAGAAGCTCCAGAATGAATACTGCTCCTCCAGAATGTTCTATTCTGGAGATTGTTGTCATTTTTCAAAAAGAAATTATAAATTTGTTGTTATTATTAATATAATCGTTTATATGGTTAAATTACCCAATTTCTCTATCTATATACTAAACTAGGTTAAAACCCATGGAACCTACGGGTGCTGTTTTTGAATTGAATTTAAAAATTAATTATTTAATAAAATATTATATCAATAATTCTGATAACTTATAAATTGTAATATTGAATATTTAAATAAATTTTTTTATTGGTAATTATTTAATTAATAACTAAATGGGAAGTATTTAATTAGGAATGAAGATTTTTGAAAACTATTTTTTTTTTATTCATCATTCTAATTGGACATATGCAGATGATACAATACCAATGTGTGTAATGAAATTAACATAAAATACAACAATACGTAATTATAAAAAAATACAGTAATATGATGGATTAAGTGTGATTTCCTAAAATTGAATAAAACGATGTTACAAAAAAGTTGGCTACAAATTTTGAAAAACTTCCCTATAAACAACATTGGAAGTTTTATTTGTGAGTTTGCCATCTTTATCTAAAATTAATAATTTTAATCCCTCTCTACTCTGAACTCTAGATAAGGCAACATACAATTGTCCATGTGAAAAAACTGGATCTTTCAGAAACAGACCAACCTTTGACAACGATTGTCCTTGACTTTTGTTAATAGTCATTGCAAAACATACAGCCAAAGGAAACTGTCTTCTTGTGAATTTGAAGGGAATCTTTTTTTTCTGATGGAGTTAAA